CAGGGCTGGAGAGATGGCTCAGAAGTTAAGAGCATTGCCTGCTCTTCCAAAGGTCCTGAGTTCAATTCCCAGCAACCACATGGTGGCTCACAACCATCTGTAATGGGGTCTGGTGCCCTCTTCTGGCCTGCAGGCATATACACAGACAGAATATTGTATACATGATAAATAAATAAATATTTTAAAAAAATAAATCAACTGCTAAGAATGTAGTACAGTTGGTCAAATATCCGTCAACACCCATAGCCTCAAATTCAACCTTCACTGCATAAATTGGTGGTGCATTCCTGTAATCCCAGAATTCTAGAGTGGAGAAGGAGGACAGGAAGCTCAAGTTATTCTCAGCTACAGAGGGAATTTTTGTTTTGTTTTTGTTCTCCGAGACAGGGGTTCTCTGTAGCTTTGAAGCCTTTCCTGGAACTAGCTCTTTAAAAAAAAAAAAAACAACAACAAAAATTTATATTTTATGTATGAGTGGTCTACATGTATGCCTGTACATTAGAAGAGGACATCAGATCCTATTATAGATGGTTGTGAGCCACCATGTGGTTGCTGGGAATTGAACTCAGGACCTCTGGAAGAACAACCAATGCTCTTAAACTAGCTCTTGTAGGCCAGACTGGCCTCAAACTCACTCTCAGAGATCTGCCTGCCTCTTCTGCCTCTGCCTCCCGAGTGCTGGGATTAAAGGCGCATGCCACCATCACCTGACTCAAAGGGAAACTTTTAGGCCAACCTGGGGGGAGTGGATAAGCAGGAAACTCCGTCCACAATAAAACAAGCACTAACCAAACAAGCCTCCTATAACCATGATACTGAATTTAAAAAATGGTAAAGCTTGGGTTGGCAAGGCAGGTAAGCAGGTAAGGAGGTTGCCACCAAGCCTAATAACTGAGTTTAACCCCTAGAACCATAAGAAGTGACCCCCACAAGTAGTTCTCTTACCACATATTAATACATATTCCACATATGAGCCTTAGGGCAATGCCACCCCACCATAATGGAGGCCCGTGCATACACAAACACACACACACATCCCCCTCCCCAACCCCACCATACTGGAGGTGTGCGCGTGATACACACATACACACACACACACACACACACACATTCATATGCATTAGTAAATATTAAAAAAAAATTAAACAGAAAGGTGAAAAAACAAGTTTCAAAGCTATAGTCATTTGGGAGCACTGTTGCTGTTCCTCAAGTTGCACCCTTGGGCTGATATATGGAGGGGAAATGTCCAGTTCTGGAATTCCAAGCACAGACATCAGGAGTTTCTGGCCCCTCCAACAACTGACTACACAGAAACTGCCTCACTACTGTCTCATTCTTCAGGAGGAATCCTAAAGATTAAAATAGCAAGGTGTAGGAGGGTGGGGTTTGGAGAGGTGGTTTAGCTGTTAAGTGCACTTGTCTTTCTAGAGGGTCTTAGTTTGAATCCCAGCACCCACATGGTGGCTGGCAAGTATCTGTTAACTCCAGTCTCAAGGGATCGGAAATTCTCTTCTGACTTCTGTGGACACCAGGCACACATGTGGTATATATACACAGATGTAAAACACTCATACACATGAAATAAAATAAGTCTAAAGTTAAAAGAAAGCAATTAGAATCTTCTATGTGTTTGAATGTATTCCCCTCCCATTATTAAGCGTTAGTCTTTGTCTCCGATCAGGTCCTTCTTCTATGCAAGAAGACATAAATTTTATGCTCGGGGTAAAGTTTAAACATTAAGAATTTCCATGCTTCTAATAATTCACAAAGCCATATGTTTCATAGTACAAGTGTTACTAAGGAGAGAGCTACAGGAGGGTTTCCAGCATGCTATGCAGAAACTCCAATAAGCCTCCACACCTTTTCATTTTGAATCTCTACCAGTTGCCCAGACTGACACACAATTCTTGATTCTCCTGCCTCAGTTTCCCAAGTAGGTGGGATTACATCTAGCAAGTCCTGTTCATTGTATTCTCATTTCCGCAAATATAAAAAGATATCTAATGACAGCCGGGCGGTGGTGACGCATGCCTTTAATCCCAGCACTCGGAAGGCAGAGGCAGGTGGATCTCTGTGAGTTCGAGACCAGCCTGGTCTACAAGAGCTAGTTCCAGGACAGGCTACAAAACCACAGAGAAACCCTGTCTCGAAAAACCAAAAAAAAAAAAAAAAATCTAATGACAAGTATGACGGCATCTATTTAGGAAATAAAACCATAATTCAACAACAGCAGCAGTAGAGTTTTCAGTTGGGGTTGAAAACAAGGCCACATGTTACCACCTTTCCCTTGCTCCTTTGCCAGGTCTCCGAGGTGTGTATAGAAAATGGACACCTTGTGCCGAACTCACCTGAGCTCTCTGCCTTCGCTGTACCGTCTACTTGAGGGGGCCCTCGGGGCAGCAGTCTCCAATAGCAGCTTCTGGGTGAGCCTGCTGGGGGGGACAGAGTCTCGGCCATCATCCTCATCTGCATCTTGGTCACATTTCCATTCTTCATCCTCATTCAAAGTAGGCAGGTATCCAGACATGCCCTTCCCTGTCCCAGACCCTGAGCTCTGGTCACTGCAAACCTTCGGACTCTCTGAGCCTGTCCTTGTGTATTCCAAATAAATGTCAGACTTAAGGAAGGAAGGGTAGGTATTCTCTTCCATGGTGGACTGGATTTCTGTCTGTGCCTGGTCAAACATGGCAGGATCAATCTGCTGCTTCATGACACAGTCCTTTATGAAGCTTTTAGTAGCTGGCTTGGTTTGTCTGGACACAATGCCATTGCTATCCAGGATGTACTTTCGGTAGATGGCTCTTGCCAGCTTCAGCCTCTTCTCCTCATTTGAGTCACAGGGCTCAAGCTTCCTGAAGCCACTGCAGGCAAACCAGAAGTCCAGCAAGTCAGCACAGCCCTCCTGCTTCAGGAAAGTCCTGAACAGGCTGATCCCATCTTGGTCATCCAGTAAGGAATGCAATGACTCAGCCCACCTCAAGTATGGTGGGGTGGGGGAGGCACTGCCCTCAGGCTCATATCCCAGATCCAGATCTGAACGTCTTGGGGTAGCTGTCGAGGTCTCACTTTTAGTGCTGGCACCTTTCCCAGAGCAGAAATTATGGTTGACAGGCCTTGAATCAGTAGATACCAGTTCTCCCTCTTCTCCAGGCACTGGGGGCCGGGGGGCATCTTCGGTGAAACTTGCTCCGAGGTCCAAGGGGAAACCCTGCTCCTGGACATTCATTTTGGGACTCTGCGTCAGTGAACAATGAGCGCTGCACCCTAATACCTCAGTACTTACAGCTCCCAAGGGAATCAATCTGTCCTGTTGAAACCATTAAGAGGACAAGGATTAGGAAAGGTGGTCCATGGACACCAGAGGTTCTCTTGAGATGTGCAGTGACGCCCTCCCACTCCCACTTGGAGCAGAGACTCAGTGCAGGCTTCCAGCAGAGACATATTTTGGCCAGAAGTTTTGCTCTATCATTAAGACAATTCCTGGAAACCTTTACAAGAATGCCTCTCACACTAAGTGAAAGCCTGGATCACAGAGGTCAGCTCTCCTTCAAGGGATGCCTTCAGTGGTGAGGCCTGAAGATCACCCATCCTGGCTAAAGAAATAACTGTCCAATGGACAGGAAAGCTGGAAGAAGAAAGGGTAACTCTGTCCCCATTCGCCAGCATCAGTGAGCTGGTCCCTCACAAGTGAAGACAATCACTTCACTTGCTCTAGTGACACTAAGAAACAATGAGGCACATTACAGATCCTCAGGTGGACAGGCACATTCCAAGTAAACAGTCTCTGTATTACCTGTCTGCTCTATCACTTTTCATCCTTGACATGTCTCATAACATGAGCAATCATATAGCAAGATGTCCTCCCTGCTCTCCACAGCTAAGAGATCACCTTCCATACCATGGACCAGAGATGGAAGGACACAGTCCACATACAAAGGCATCTCTCTGTGCATCATCAACATGGACAACTTTAGAGATCCAAAAAACTGTACTTGGCTACTAATTTCTCTCTTAGGAGATTCCCTTCTGATAACAAATGGTGATTAGGAACTTAAGAGAGGCAGAAAAAGTACAGAAAAATAAATAAATAAATTGCAAACACTTCTGCTAAAGAAGCATACAGGAAATATGGTTTAGATCCACCAGATGAAAACTATACAATCTACACTCTTAAAGATTAGAGAACTATAGTTTTTATTGCTGTGTACAGTATGCAGAAGGAACCAAACCTGTTTATATTTAGATAAGAACCTCTGCTATGATCTTTGGTCCTTTTTGCTACATCCCATGGGAGCCTAGAGAGTCCCTGAGCTCTAGCAATGCCTCTCAACCTATTCAAAGGGGGAGATAACAACAGTCTGCCTTGTCCCGAACATACCCACTAAAAGTGAGCTGGAGGGCTGGAGAGATGGCTCAGAGGTTAAGAGCACTGACTGCTCTTCCAGAGGTCCTGAGTTCAATTCCCAGCAACCACATGGTGGCTCACAGCCATCTATAATGAGATCTGGTGTCC